TGCCTCTCTCCCAGATTCTGGTGGCAGTCCTTGATGCTTCCACACATAACTCCAATCTCTGCCTCCATCTTCTCCTCTATGTTTCTATGTGCCTTGGCTTTAGGGCCGATCCTAAGGCCAAGATGGTCTCAAGGATCCAAGATCCTTAATTACCTCTGCAAAGACCCTATTTCCAGTTAAGTTCACATTCATGGGTACTGGGGATTAAGACTTGTATATATCTTTGAGGGGAACACTATCCAACCCACCCCCAAGAACTGTAAGAGGAATTGCTTCTACAATGCTGCACTTTGTTTTTATTCCCTGAGCTTTTATAGGGGGATGCAGTATTTCATCTTTTATTCTTCTCTGAATCTGCATTCTGATTTACACTTTTCTTAAGGCTATTTTAATTATTTATAATTTCTCATATTGCATATATTCTCATACCTGAATTCCTCTGTGAAATATATGTTGGGTAAATAAACATATGAACTGAAAAGCATCTCTCAGATTTGGGGACGTGTAGCTCCTTGGAGATCTTTACCAAAGGAGTTCCAAGATAGTGGTGAGCCAAGAAGCCAGACCACAGTGCACTGAGGAGGGAATGAGCAGCTGGGTAGAGGAGAAAATGTACATCTCTTTGTAAACCCTTGGCTATGAAAGGTTAACAGGACAGTGGACTCTGCCTGGTTGCTGTTGACAGGAAGGTGCTGAAAAGAGGATGTTGGAGGACAGAAGAAAACTCAATTGATGGCACTCAAGGAGGAGGGAAGGGATGTCTCCAGAAGGATGCCTGAAAGGAGTTGAAGGCAGGTGTGAAGACAGGTGAGCAAGGTGAGGAAATGGTATCCTCAGTGCCTCCCTTTCGATGGAGAAGGCTTTTCCAAGAATAAGGGAATAGAGTTGAGGGGAGTAGGGAGGTATAGAAGGATCACCAGAGACAAAAGGAAAGGGGAGATCTCTGGGGGGCTACTGGAATGGTGCTGGGGACCCAAGGCAGGTCAGAGACCAGGAGTTTCCTATCTCTTATTCCCTTGAGGGAAGGTCCTCTCTGGAAATGCCCTGTGGCAGCCCGAATGAGGACAGAAGGTGGGTACACGTGCAAAGGAAGGATTTCCTGTGGAGAAACCAGACCATCACTTCCTTCCCTCTGAGTTACCTGCTTCATATCAGAGTTCAGCCCTGTACACATTAGCGAATAGTCCTAACAGATTTTCACTTACGTCCCCCAAGTATGTCCACCAAACATAAGTTAGCCTTTTAAACATAACAGACCAGTGTAAACATGTTGCTAATCAGATGTTGTCACAAGGACATGTGCCTTTTTGAGCTCTGATAACTTGTGACCTCCTCTCAAGGCCCCAGTTTCCTCGTTATAAAATTGGAAGCAGTGAGATCAACCTGGATGAGTTCTTAGTCGCTCTCTACTCTGATGTTCTGTGGTCTAATGGTGACTGGAATCCCTGGGCTTAACCAAACCAGAATCACCACTGGCTTCACTCAAGAGCAATAGTGATGACCAGTGTGCAGCACTGCCTCTCTGTGGGCAGCCCTCAATCTACCAGCAGCTCAGCAAGTCCCCAGCCTGCCCAGCTCCATCATTGAATTCACATTAGCAACTCATGGCCCTTACAGTAAGCATCACCTGGCTGTCTTCCCGTGACCCAGCCTCTGAGAGCCTTCTTACTCTATACAGTCTCCTTCTCTGTCCATCTTTCCAGCTGCTCATGTCAGGCCCAACCTCTCTCCGAGGAGAGTCTTCCAGCTGATTCCTCGTGACCCCACAAGCCAATCCCTCATTCATGCCTCACCAACCAATCACAGGCGTGGCTGGTGCACAGGAACTTTATATAAGTGCCATGATAGCTGGTTAAACATCACACTTGTGGACCTTTTTAGGAAAAGTTGAGTATCAATCCCTTGATAATGAACATAATCCCTCCATTTGATACTGTTTCAGTAGGAAACCCAGTTTCAGCATGGGTCATGTCCCCTCACAGCACCTTTTTGAGCATACAACTAGTGTTAAGTGCTTAGAACTGGCTGTGGTATGGCAGCCTCATGGAGTCAGATCTCTATTTTTAGCTTTTACACAATTAATTGTTCAGTCCCCAAAGCCACAAGTAAGGAGCAGAGGTCACAGAAGAAAGTAAGAGCCACAGTTCCCATAGCAAGACAGATGGGAACCCATAAAGAACCCAGAGTTCAAACCCCAACCCATGCCCTGGTCAGGTGTGGCCCACTCTGGACCTCCACACTGGGCCATCCAGCCAACTCAATAAACACTTCTTGAGTATCTCACCTGAGCCAGGTCCTGTGCTGACAAGGGCTCCCCTACTCTTGAGGAGCTCTCGTTTTCTCTAGTGGGTGAGACAGATTCAAACCCCATTCAGTTCTACAACAGACATTTATAGGATAGCTGTTATGTGCCAGGCACTGCACTGAAGTCAAGGTGCAGTGATGAGCCAGACAAATATGATGCACGCACTCATGGGGCTTGTAGCCCATGGAGAAGACAGACTCTGTACGAGTGAGTTGAGTGCTACAAAGTGTTCCTGGTGTAGAGTAGGGGCTCAAACATATGTTGATAGAATAAAGAGATAAAGGCCATGTCATCTTTCTCCTTTCTAATAGGGTCCAGAATGGGGCCTGACACAGGCGTCAGTAAATGAATGTAACTCACTGGTCCCCAGCACCATTCTGTGTGTGATATTACCAAAATAGGGATGACTAAAACCTTAGTGCACTGGACTGGGAGGTTGCCCTTCCAAATGGAAAGGTCCACAGCAGTTCCTTTGGGAAGGTGGCTTAAGGCTGGAGAGGGTGAGTGTGGGACTCCCATTGTAGGGTTTTGGGGAGGTACAGAGGTTGCTGGTGTTGCTGTGTCAAGCCTCAGGCAGACAAAACAAGACAAACCTTGCTAAATGATCATTGTGAGGTCTGTCGTTCAAACGGAAGATAAGAGCAAAGAAAATTCAAGTCTACTAACGTAATGCTGGAGCAGAAATCGCCCTGATCTTTCAGAAAACAACCACACAGACACTTCCTTAAAGAAGTTTAGTCCAGGAGGATTAATATTTTTTCTAATCAAAGTTCCCTGTTTTAGAAAGAAACCCCATGGGTTTCAATACTGTCATCTGTTGTAATCCATCAGACATGTTTCCTGCCCTCAGAGAGCTTCCATTTTAACTGGAGGAGAGAGAAACCCTGAAATGGATGGCAGTAACTCAAGTTAAAAAGAAGCCCAGATGTGAGACTGTGCAGGAAGGGGTCACTTGCAGGGTCAGTGATGGTGGGGACCCAGGAAAACTTCACAGAGGAGGTGGAATTGGCCCTTGGAGCAGAGGGAAGACTTTGACGTGTAGGATAAGAGGAAATACGTTTCAGAAGAAATCCAGGTATAGGCAACATCCGGGATGTAGGAAAATCTAGAGCACACTTAAGTAAGAGGGCCCAGTTCATTAGCCTTGACCATGGATAACATGAAAGGGAGTAGAGGGAGATAAATTGGAGCAAGATCACTGCAGGCTCCAAATTTCAGGCCAAGGAGTGTGGTCCTCTGTGTTTCATTTTCCTCATCCATAAACATGGAAATAATACCCTCTCTCCTGCAAGAATTAAAGTATCTAATACATATGAATTATATATATTACGTGCTTAGTGTCTGATAAATAGAAATGCTTCATAAACAGTAGCTAACACCATGGCAGTGGTAGCAATAGGGAACCATTTTTTTTTTTTTTTTTTTGTGGTACACGGGCCTCTCACCGTTGTGGCCTCGCCAGTTGCGGAGCACAGGCTCCGGACACGCAGGCTCAGCGGCCATGGCTCACGGGCCCAGCCGCTCCGCGGCATGTGGGATCCTCCCGGACCGGGGCACAAACCCGTGTCCCCTGCATCGGCAGGCGAACTCTCAACCACTGCGCCACCAGGGAAGCCCCATCACGGATTTTGAGTAGGGAAATGGATGGCACCCTCAGACGGGTTTAGATTAACACAGCACCACACAAATTAGCACTTTTAATGATATTAGTCCTGGGACTACCCTGGTGGCACAGTGGTTAAGAATCTGCATGCCAATGTAGGGGACACGGGTTCGAGCCCTGGTCCAGGAAGATCCCACATGCCACGGAGCAACTAAGCCCGTGCACCACAACTCCTGAGCCTGCACTCTTGAGCCCTCGAGTCACAACTACTGAGCCCACGTTCCATAACTACTGAAGCCCGTCAGCCTAGAGCTCGTGCTCTGCAACAAGAGAAGCCACCACGGTGAGAAGCCCGCGCACCGCAATGAAGAGTAGCCCCTGCTCGCAGCCACCAGAGAAAGCCCGCGTGCAGCAACGAAGACCCAACGCAGCCAAAAATAAATAAATTTATAATAAAAATTTTAAAAATTAAAAAATATATATTAGTCCTTTTGGACATTGCTCTTCTAAGGACTTAAGTGTTCTTTATCTGCCTTTGCACAGAGGGTGGTGCTTGGTGGCATCAGTCAGGGTTCTCCAGAGAAACAAAACCAGTAGGATATGTATACAGAAAGAAAAAGATGTATTTAAGCCCACACAGCTGTTGGGGATGGCAAGTCCAGAATGTGTAGGGCAGCCAGCAGGCTGGAAACTCAGGCAGGACTTCTGTCTTACAGTTTTGAAGCAGAATCCCTCCTTCTTCAGGAAACCTCAGTTTTTACCCTGTAGGTCTATCAGCTAATAGCATGAGGCCTCCCCACACTGTGGAGGGGAATGTCCTTTACTGGCAGTCAATTTGTTGTAGATGTTAATTACATCTACAGACCACCTCCCCTGCAACATGTAGACTAGTATTTGACCAAACAGCTGGGTGCCGTTACCTAGCCAAGTAGGTATACAGAATTAACCAGCACAGTGGTCTTTATCTCAAAGAGGGAAACTGAGGCAGAAACTTGGCAAAACCCTAATCCCTAGAACATGGTACCAGGCCTGCCAGATAACTTCTGTACCTTGGTAATCATTTTACATTATTTATTCCTGCTTCCTAGGTAAAAGTCTCCGCAGACCAGAACAAAGCCAAACCTCTATGGGGTATATTGTGCCAAACGCTGATGCAGCCAGAGATGCAGACTTTGACTTGGTGCCAAGAAGCCCTTCCTGACTGGAGTTTCCAACAGTGGGACAGACCACCTGGGATGCAGTGGGCTCGAGGTCCCTGGAGGTGAGCAACCAGAGGAGATTCAAACATCCCCTGAGAGTGGGACCAGGCACCAGGAGGGAGCCCCTGCAGAGGGTCTATGAATTCTGATAACCCTAGATACTATAAATGTTGCTCAGAAAAGTCCCTGCTTCTTCCTCCTCTCCACACCCCTCCCCTACCCCGAAGTGAGGCATCAGAGGTTGGAACCTCCCCGAAATGGAAACCATCTGCATGCCTTTCTCACCCTTCCTCCACCAGCCTCCTCTCCCCAGCCAGCTTCGCCTGGTTAATCTTTCTGGGAGGAGAGCTTGTCAAACTCGCCTCTGCCTCAGCCTCCTTTCACACCCCGCCTCAGCCTCCTTTCACACCCCACCTCATCCTCCACGCCTACCCGCATGGAGCCTCGGGGGGCCCAGGGGATCCACCATCGTCCTGGACAAGTCATGGGTCACCAACCACTTCTCTTCTGTGCCTACACCCAGTTAATCATTTCTTCCTGGTGATTTGCATGGCAACCCTCTTGCGCTTAGCTGCTCAGGGGAGTTTTCTGGTTTCATTGCCTCAATTAACATTGCCCTCCTGGGTCACTCTGGATTCCCCTGCCAACCCACCACAGGCCTGACCTCTGAAGCCTGCCTGTCTATGCTCCAGGGGGTTCTTGTCTTCTCATGGGCCTTCCCTTACCATCAGCAAGCCAGGCTATGCATGCAGCACCATCTCGCAAGGGATGGGGAGATATTGGCCACGGCAGGATTCTTGAAGTTCTGGTGGATGTCAGAGCTGCAAAGGCCTGAAAGATTGTCTAGTTTACTCTGGCCCACCCGACTTCACCCCCACTTTACAGATGGGGAAACCGAGGCCAGCACAGGGAAAAGGCTTGCCCATGGTCATTCCTCAAGTCAGAGGAAGAGCCAGCCCTAGGCTTTGGGGCCCTCTCCCTCAGCCCCTTCTGTCTCCCTCTGCCACACTTTGTCAACAGAAAACAGAAAGCATCTCTGAAAACGTCAACATGTTAGGAGTGAGTGAAAAAATGTGTTTCGTGTTTAAATATTGAATCTCAACAATGTTGTTCCCTCCAGGCAGCTGTTTGCAAGAAGCTCTGGGCATAGCCATGAGCTGGGCTGTGGCATGGAGCAAGAGGGCAGGAGGGAGAAGAGACCTACCTCCCTCCCAGACAGGAGCTCTTTTAGTACAGCGAACTGAGCACCTCCTAAGTCACACTGCCCCACAGAGTCATTACCAGGAGTCAGGGAACAAATGAACATGAAGATACAGGAACTAGACCCAGAGGACAGGGAAAAAATTAGAAAGGAAGGGGGAAGCAGCAGTAGATCCAGGGAACACAGGGTAGATACCTCAAAGACCTCAAGTTCCTGGACCATCAGGGGCCAACACAAGTCCCAGCACTTGCTATAAAAGATCATCTCGGGGTTTCCATGACAAAGAAACTGTCAAATCAGAAAGCCACCATTCTACAAGCTGGAGGACCTTCAGAAATTATCGAATCTAGAAACCTGTATGGTACATATGGGGAAACTGAGGCCCATAAAGAGCTTCATATCCTGCACTGAGTTAGGGGCAGAGCCAGGACTGGAGTCCAGGCGCCTGCCTCCCAGTGTGGGACTCTCTCCATGAGCCAGAATGGGCCATGGGGCCAGCGTTTGGAGGAGGTTTGGAGAAGGGGACGTCAAAGACCAGGTGTTGAGCTCTTTGGAGCCCTGGAGGCTGGTGAGGCAGAAACACCACAGAGGAAACCTGGGGTGTCTCTGTGACAACAGACTTCTGAGGAGCTGTGGAGAAACCAGGGTGATTGTGATGGGGGAAAGAAGGGCTGTGAAAGTGAAATTTGCAATTTGTGAGACAGGGAAACTGAAAATGTGCTCTCCATCCGATGCAAATTATCTGTGGCTTTTTGTCCCACGCCTGCAGCAGCTCACAGCATATACACCAGGATCCATGGGGCTTGGTTCCCATGGTCTGCAGCCGGGAAAATGGGAACAGAGAAGGCTTCCCTCGGTCAGGGAGGGATGTGTTGGGATGCCCAGGCTCCATGTGGAGCTGTCCTCTGGGCTGAGAGTGGGCCTCCTCTGTACCTGGCTTAGGCAACTCTGTTAGGGACGACCTCCCGGGCAACAGCACTCAGCCCCCCGCCCAGGTCAGCTCCGGACTCCCTGCCCTCCCCATCTCCTGCCACACCCCTTTGTTCTGCCCCCAGGTACCCCCACATTTTCATTCCTGCAAGAATTTGCTTATCCTGTGTCTACTGCTGTTAATGCCCTCCTTCCTTTGCTTCTTCAACCCTGTCAGCCTGGTCAGATATTCCATGAGGAAACCTCCCCTTCTGCTCCAGGAAACATCAATGTCTCAGCTATGCCTCTCAACCTCCTCACCTAGCCTACATCTATTGTACTTTCAATTGTCTATTTACTTTCTCAGTCTCCCACAGAAGACTGGGAGCCCCTCGAGGGCAGGTACTATGTCAGGTTCATCTTTGTATCCCAAAAGCCAAGCACTTCGGTTGGCGCCCATTAGAGGCCAGGATGCAGGCTGCCACCGTGCCCGTCAGAGCCAGGGCAGACATTGCTAATCAATCATGATCTCCTTTCCCTTGGAGTCTCAGAAGGCTTCACTCTTCAGCATAGAGTTCCAGGCAGGCACTGCCCAGCAACCAAGACTGGCTTTCTTGATGAAACTAGTGACTCATTAAATGTGTGACTCAGATCTCAGCTGGGGGCTATTGGCCCCTCACAGATTTGGCTCCAGTGCCATGCTCTGTGCTTACCATGATTGCTGAGAGATGCAAAGCTGACTGCCTCATGGTGCCTCAGCATCACTCCTGAAGCAATCCAGGCAGGAAACCCACAACCTTTCTCAGCCCACAAACACATGCACACATGCACATACTTGCCCACATACACACTCCCACATGTTCACACGCACCCACAGGCACACACTTACACACGTATTCCCACTCATATGCACACATTCACACATGCTCACATATACATACACCCACACATGTACACGCTAGCCACACTCCTACATACCTAGACATGCACGCTGACACACACACATGCTCTTACACATATATACATATTCACACACGCATGCACACACTTGTGTCACACACTCACAAATACACTCCCGTTAAACATTTTGTGAGTTTGGGGAACTTCAGTGAAGATTTCAGGGCTGCAGGGAGGTGTCACGTGACACAACGCATTGTTCCCACTGTCCTTGCAGTTCCTTCTACCCATTCTCTCTGCCTTCTCGCCATCTCTTCCCTCCATTCCTCCAGCACTGTCCCACCCCAGTGTCAAATTTTTGTCCCTCTGTTTTGCAGAGCCATTCTGCTGCCCACTCTGGAGCTAGGGACGGGCCATGCCTGTGCCCACAGATCCCCACCCACCCAGAGTCGGTTGAATCACGTTTCTCCATCTGGTTTCAAATATTGTTATGAGTAGATAGATAGCTTTAACAAAAGACATTTGTCTACAGCTCTCCGCTTCCCATTCTAAACTAACACAGTTCAATGACAAACACCGTTTAAAGCCTCTACTCGGCGCCCGTCATCATGCCCAGCATTGAAAATAGGGACAGTACTGTCCCTAAAAGAGCACCAGTCTAATGGCAAAAACAAATAGTGACAAGTAAAAGGAGTGATTAATGCCATGCCTGGAGGCAGAAGAATGACTTCCCTGCTGTGATATGAAGGATGACCAGATCCCAGGGGAACAAGATTGGGAGGGTCATCTCAGGCAGGAGGGACAGCGTGTACAAAGGTGCAGGACAGAAAGAGCACAGCTGGCATCCTGTGTAGAGCTGAGGGTAGAGCTGAGGGTAGAGGAGCAGCTTGGAGGAGCAGAGCAAGCAAGCGGAGGCCAGACTGCACCCGGGCCTGGGGCTGGGGCTGTGACTCCGTCCTGCCAATGCTGGACCCTGCGCCACTTGCGAAAGCCATGGTTTGAAGGGGAGCCAGTATCACAGACGTCTTCGCCCAAACCGGCTGAGCCGTGTGCCCATCTGTCCATCACCAAGGCTTCGGAAGAGTGTTCAGGGTCTGACTCTTCTCCAACAAACACACACATCAGAGGCAATCAAGGTCTGATTCCTGTCACTGTCGATTAGTTTCACCTGTACTTCAACCTTGTATAAATGGAATCATCCAATATGGACTCTTTTGTCTCCGGCTTCTTTAGTTCACTGTGTCTGTGAGATTCACCCCTGGGTAGAATCTTTTAAAACTTTGTTTCAAACATTGAGAGTTGGGGTGTGAAACTTAGAGGAGCCCAAACTTAACAGTTTTCTAATCACCCCACCACAGAAGCAGGGCTCTCATGAAAATGAGCTGTTATCCTCTTCCTTTAAAAGCTTACACAGAACATAAGCCTCAAGGACCACGATGTATAGCAAGCTCCCCCACCTGCATTGAGCGGCAAGAGTCTCACTCCAGTCCATGACTTAAGAGACTCTATTAAATCCAGGGTGGATTTTCTATGCCCAGTGGTTTTCCATTTTGTCTTTTAATGTTTACTTTAAGGACTTAATTTTTAAAAAAGAGCCAAATTACCACCACGCTTTAAAATGAACTTGTTTAGGGGAGTTAAAAACAGACTTCAGAATGTGGAGCTTCAATTAACTTTGAAAGATGGTAATTAAACAGCCCCTGTGCCCTGTCTCATACTTTGCAAAAGCAAAGAAGAGAGACCAGAGACTGGAAGTTCTCACCTTGGCAAAACACTGAGCAACATGAAGAGCTTTAAAGTTCCACACATCCAGGCTGTACCCCCAGACCGACAACATCCGAATCTGCTGGGTTGGAACCCAGACACCAGGATAGTTTTTTAAGCTCTCAGATTCCAGTGTGCATCAGAGGCTGAGAATCTCTGCTTTAGATTGATTGACAGCTGTGGACAGTGATGGGATGAGAGACTTGAAGAAAGGGAAACGGGTAAGGCTGAGAGACATGGAGAGGGCTTCACACTAAAATACATCTCGCTTTGGAAGGAAACGAGAGGGCC